GCACACACACCATTAACCCCAGCATTAGGAAGGTTGAGACAGGAAGTGACATGGCTAGGTGGAGAAAGGCATGTAAGGCGGGAAGAGACAGGAACTCAGCCCTTTCAGCTGAGGACTCAGGAGCATTTAGTCTGAGGATTCATGGAGACAGGATCTTCCCCTTTCTGTTGAGGAGTTGGCAGGTGAGAAGTAGCTGTGGCTTGTTTCCTCTGATCTTTCAGCATTTACTCCAATATCTGGCTCCCAATTTTTATTATAAGACCAATTAGGATTTGTGCAACAGTTTTCTTTTCTGGCTTTGTCTAGTTGGGGTTCTGTGTGTTTCTGTATGGGTATGTCTTTCCTTAGTTTGAGAATTTTTTTTTTTATGATCTTGTCTATGCCCCTGACTTGGGATTCTTCTCCCTCATCTATCTAGTCCTATAATTTGAAGGTTTGGTCTTTTCATGGTGTCCCATACTTCTTCTCTGTTCCTTTCTTGTTTTTTTTTTCATATTCTTTGCTTGTTTGATCTAGATCCTGCTTTGTCAAGCCCTGATATTCCATCTTCTGGTTGATTCATCCTCCTTGTAAGGCTTTTCCTTGAGTTTTCTACTTGGGTTATTGGAGTTTTGATTACATATTCATTTCAGTTTGAGCGCTCTTCAATGTTTCTATCTCTTTATTAAATTTTTGTTTTGAATTCCTGGACTGTCCTTGTCATTTCCATCAGCCTTATGTTTTTATCTTCTTGGTATTCACCCAGGTGTTTATTCTCTGTAAGTTCACAAGCTCTTTCTTCGTGTCTCTTTTAAACTCCTTAAATTCTTTGATGAAGTTTATGATTTTTCTTTCAAATTCTATGTCCTAGGCTTCATCTAGGTAATTCTCACTGGTAATAATTTCTGTAGAACTAGTGGATTTTACAGGGAAGATTCTGCCTTGCTTTTTCATATTTTCTATATTTTTACCATGAAGTTTGGACATGGGGACATATTTTCTTAGTTCTGTGTCTGATAAGGACAGAACAGGTTGGGCCAGAACACAGGATGTGTGGATCAGGTTGGATAAAACTTAGGTAGAATGAAGTGAAGTTGACACAGGGGACTGGGCAGGTGTTTAATGTCATCCTGGTCCAAGCCTAGACTTCAGGGCTAAATCTGGGACTTAAGGAGGAGGGTTATGGAGGAGAAGAGAACTCACCCAGTCAGACCATGGTGCAAGATTCACAGCATCTGGTTGCCCAGGGAGATTGAAATACAGTGCAAGAGGGACCTGTAGGTTGAGGGTGTTGGGGTGTGTCCTGGCCCAAGCCTGGAGGTTGAGGACCATGCAAGCAGGTGTGACCAGCCTAAGCCAGGGCACTTGATGAGGAACTCAGGCTATAGTAGGTTGTCTGGCAAGTTGTCATCACTGTGGGAAAACTCTTTCCTAATAGGCAAGTTCCTCCTTCGGTTGTCACCAAGCTTTAGTCTTTTCCCTTTTTTTTTTTCCAGCATGAGATTCCTGGGGGGCGGATTCCAGTTTCTTGGGGTCACTTGATTCAAGGGTCTGCTAACCAAAAGGAGAAACACAGATGTTTCTCCAATTTATCTTCATTCCTACCAGGCAGGTCACAAGGTCAGGAAGCAGTTTGGTAAGCCAAATGCTAGAGTGCCTCACAAGTTGTCTCCCAGATCCATCTTTTGAGTTAAACTGTCTTGAAATAGCCTGGGATCTCCACGCCAGGGCCGTGCTCTTTCTGATCCTGGAAGTGAGGACAACAGAAAGCCAAGATGAAGGCAAGAGCAAGCTTCAAATCCTGGTGTCTGTGACCTGCCTGACAATGGTCCTTGAAAGCACTGAAAGTGAGCAGGATGGGCATCTTCATCATGGCTGTGATTGGCTCACAAGAATCAAATGAAGTAGCTATGACCTAGCTGACCTGTGAGCAGAATCAACTGCTGTGGCTGCTACTGCAGTTTCTGTCCTGTCCTTTCAGGGAAGTGACAAAAAAGCCTGGACGTGTCAACAGACCTTCTGACAAGGCTCCCTAGTTGCAGCTTTTCTGACAGCACACACTGGCAACTGCACGTGGATGATGAGGCCAGAGGCCCGAGAGAAACACCTAGCGAATGCTGTCTTATGAGTGCTCAGGGTGTCATTAACATTCCAAGTGACAGGACCGGTGTTATAGTTTAGATACAAAACATCCCCCACAGGCTTATTAGTCTTTGGCTAGTGATGCTGTGTGAGGAGGTTGTAGAGTCTTTGTGAAGAGAGTTCACATGGAGGAAGCAAGTTGCTTGGGAGGAGAGAGCTTGAGGTTTATAGCCTGGGCCTAGTTCCTGTTCTTTCTCTGGACTCTGCTTCCTGTTCCTTGGAGCTGTGAGTCTCAGAGGTACACTCCCACCCTCATCCACCGAGCTTCCCCCTGCCCCACTTCACTGCACCTCTGCCAGCTGTGATCCTCTCTTCCTTTAGTTCAGTGGTTCTCAACCTGTGGGTCACAACCCCTTTGTAGGCTGAACGATCCTTTCACAGGGGTTGCTTAAAACCAACAGAAATAGCACATATTTTACATTACAATTCATCACAGTAGCAAAATCACAGTGATGAAGTGGCAATGAAAACAGTTTTATGGTTGGGGGTCACCACAACATGTGAAGAACTGTCTTAAAGGATCCAGGCGTTAGGAGGGTTGAGAACCACTGCTTTAGTTTATTTGTCACATGTTCTGTTACAGTAACAAGGAAACAGATGATCACAGGCAGGGAATTTTGGTTATTCCTAAATCTTTAGTTGGTCTCCATCAGTGGTTCTCAACCTTCTTGTAGCCCCACAGCAGGTTCTGAAGTGCTGTACCTCTGCTCTGGCTCACGCGCTCCAGAAGTTGTTTGAGCTGGGAGCTTCAGCAACTACAGCGGACAGATTTAAAAGGAAGGAGCAGCCTGTGGGCATTCCCACGTGCAGCGTGGTCGCTGGTGGGCAGGGGGAATGTATCAGCGACTCCTGCAGTGGTCTTGCGGGGCCACTGGAGCCTGCTCAGAGCCGGTCAGGGGCCAGTGGGCAGACAGCTGCCATTGTGCTCAGACTGCAGAGCAGGAGTGCTTTGCTGAGGGATTTGTGCCGCTGGTACCTACCAGGTGGGAGGCTGTGATCCCAGGCCATAGGTGGACCAAATACCCACTACACCTTCTTAATGCTTCTGCTCTTTAATACAGTTCTTCATGTTGTGATGGCCTCTAACGATAAAATTATTTTCGTTGTTACTTCATAACTTTACATTTTCAGCTGTTAGGATCTGTAATGTAAATATCTGATATGTAGGATGTATTTTCCTTGTTACAAATTGACCCAAAGGGGTTGTGACCCCACAGGTTGACCCAGCAGGTCTACATACTTCTGTTCCTTATTGACTGAAGGAATCTGTAAGAGAGAATTATTTCCCACTGTTTGAGAAATGTTTGTGATTACATTAGTTTGGGGGATACCAGAGAATTCGATAGTCAGTCCTGGGTCCCACATTCAAGCTGAGGATGTTCATCAGGATCTATCCTTCAGCATGGTGAGCATGGTAGCATCCAAATCCTGCAATGGCTGTGGCTTCAGTGTGGCATCCCTCAAAACTACACACACACACACACACACACACACACACACACACACACACACACATACACACACACGCGTGCGCGCACTGCCTTTGTGGTGGTATTGAGAGGTGGAGTCCTTGGAGACTGGTTAGGCCATGAGGGCTCCTCTCAGGCATGGGCTTACTGTCCTTATAAAAGGGCTGTTGGATGTGAGTTCAATCCTTCCTGCCTTCTACCATGTAATCAAACCTAGGTGGTGCCATCTAAAAGCAAGGAGCCCTCAGCAGACATAGAGTCTTGGCACCTTGGTCTTGGGGCTTCTCAGCCTCCACAGCTGTGAGACATAATTCTCTGTTGTTGGTACCCTCATCCACCAGCATTTACTAGAGTTGCCCAGGGAGGCTGGGACACATGCTTTCAAATAAACACATCTCCTTGTTTAAAGTATTGGCAGCAAATGGGAAGAGGAGGAGATGTGAATTTCTGTCATTAACAACAACAAAGTAATCTCACCATAAAGAAATGAATAGGAAAATGAGCCACAGACACACATGGAGGAGTCACCACAAATAGACAGACAAGCAAACAGACAGATTAGAAATAAAGATACGTGTTCAGCCCAGTTCATTAAAAATGGAGACTAAAAATTACACCAGAATCCTGTCTGAATTGATAAGATAATGAGAATCCAAAGGATGGATAAGAACGCTCTTTGCTTAAAAAAAAAATGCATGGACTCAGGCATTCGTTTATCATAACATAAAGGACAAAATGACCCACTGATACATGCGGCAACTGGGGAATACTGGCTTAAGTTGAAATGCACTCATCCCTTTGGCTTTATACCTGATTGCGGGGAATGTTGCCCTGTGTATACTTTCCTACACTGAGAGTGACATTCTAGACCATTCAGTACTGCACAGAACATTTAAAATACTGCCCCAACAGCTACTTTTATTTTCAAGGGCATGCTGTGCTAAATTTCGGCTACAGGATACATTAAACTGTGAAAAAAAAAAGGGGGGGGGACATTATCACAGGACTGTGAGGAGAAAGCAAGGTAAAAAGGAAGCGAGGGAAACTGGAGTGAGTTTGGCTGGAGTTCTGTACCGGACAGGTCGATGAGAAATCCACAGGAGGGCTTCTTGTGCCAAGTGGAAGGTGCTGTGTTCCTTAAACCCTGTAGTGTACGCATGCGTATTCATCATGGAACTGATCTGAACACAGACGGCTGGCACCACATCTGCCTCAGGTGGCATAAGGAAGGTCAGAGCGGGGGGCTCTCCGGTGTCCGGCTCCCAGAGGAGAAGAGCCCCACCGAGCGAAGACTAATTGCAGTGGGGTCAGGTATGGGGCGCTGTTTGCCGCGTATCACGCAGACCCTGAGTCGCCCCCCTCTGGACGGACTGCAATGAGACTGAGACCGTGGGACTGGCGGGAACTGGAATGTTCCAGAAGGAGCACCAGAGGCGCCCTGTAGGGGGCAGTGTGAGGAGAGCGACCCCCGGAGAGAGCCAGCTGAATCTCAGACCTCCCCGGGGCCAGTCAGATGCCAGGACTCATGGACACACCGAAGCACGGGCCGCCGAGGAAGTGAGTGTGGTTGTGGGGTGTGGGCAAATGAGCCGCTCCTCTCTCGGGTCCGCAAGCGGTCCAGAGCACAGACTAGGTGGGGCCAACGGTGTGAGGAAGGTTCCCTGAGGTGTGCGTCCTTGCCAACACCCCCCCACCCCCGACACACACACACCCCGCAGAACATGGAGTAAGGGTGGCCCGGGGTGGGAGTGGACTCGGGGCCCGGAGAGGGTTCTGTGGCACGCCGACCGGACCGGGGACACCAGTGTGAGCAGAGCTAGCCACTCACAGTCCTCCCCTGGACAGGACCAGGCGCCCTCTGGAGATGGTGGTCCTCCTGGTCTTGCTCACCGCCACAGGCTTACCGCTGACCGTCGAAGGTAAGTGCTGCAACCCCGCGCCCTATAAGATGATGAAAGTTAATGACTCCAGAGAGAGTCCGTTGTGGTTAGGGTAAACTGAAGTCCGGGAATGTGAAACCCGAGGTCATGAAGGCTACGGTGTGGTGGGGCAGTGGGGGGGGGGGGGTGGGGGGGGTGGGAGGGTAGGGAGTGGGGAGTGGGGGGGTGGGGGCACGGGTGAGAGTGGGGGGGGGGTGGGGTGGGGGGGGGGGCGGGGGCGGGGGGTGGAGGGAGGGCATGGGAGTAGGGAGAGTGCTTCTGATTTTGCGCTTCCCCTAGGGGCAAGCATGGGTTCCTCATTCCCCAGGGCTCCTCCTGGTCTGTTTCTCCCATCACCCTTCCTTCTTGTAAAAAAGTCCTAGAAAACCAAGGCCACCCTGACCTCAGAGCCTCAGCACTGTCTGCGGATAGGGAGTTAGCGGGAGAAGGTGCCTCTATTGTCTTCTCCAAACTGGAGCTGCTCTAATCCTGACCCAGGAGAGTTTGTAGTTCCTGTCTAGGATGGGACCTGGAAACAAGGAGGGTGGGCCAGGACAAAGGGTAGCTGTGGAACTCTGGGGCCGAAAGGAAAGGGCGAAGGACGGTGTGGAAATGGATGTCCTTCGGCATTTCTGGACACTAGCGTGTCTCTTTGAGGATATGGGTTCATGCAGTGTGCCCAGATGTGAGGGACCAAATGAAATACCTACTGGACAGGTGAGGGAGCCTCCAGACAGAGGCTGAGAATTTAGGTGGCATGCACAGACTGTGGGCATGGGGAGAGTTGGGGGCTCACTGGACTTGGCAGCCACTTGGAATAGGACGATAGCTTTGGTGCTGCAGGAGGAACAATGGTCCCATGTTTTCTCTTTCCCAATCCCTTTCTTCAGCTCTCAACTGTCATGTCTGTGAGCAAGAGAACAGCCTTAACTGCACGAATCCACAGACATGTTCTGATGAGCAAAAGTTCTGTGTGATGGTTGCCGTTCGTAAGTGTTACTTGGTTTGGGGTTCTTCCTAGGATCCTGTGGGCGGGACAATACATGCTGTCAGGAATAGGAGCTGTTGGCCGGGCAGTGGGGGGTGGGGGTGGGGGTGGGCGCCAGCCTGGTCTACAGAGCAAGATCCAGGACAGGCACCAAAACTACACAGAGAGAAACCCTGTCTCAGAAAAACCAAAAAAAAAAAAAAAAAAAAAAAAAAAAAAATAGGAACTGTCAATCAAAAGTGACCTTAAATAACAACAATAACAAACAACAAACAAAAAACCAAACCAAACCAACACACTGAAGGGGAAATGCCCTGAGAAGCAGGTGCAGGCCTCAGTGCTGGGAAGCACAAGCCAGGCAGAAAAGCATGCAACAGCAGCTGTCAGTCAGCAGTTTTAGGATGCTGGGAGAATAATATAGATTTATCTTTATCTATCTTTATTTTTAAAAAAACGATGTCAGATGCCTTATTGAGACTAGCATCTAGGCAGTTTTTATGAAGGACAGTTACAGCTTAATAGATATTCTCGGAGAAGGGGCCATGGCTTGGGTATTTGCAGACTGATCCACTGCAGAAATTCTGGATACAAGAAGGGTTTCCCAATGAGGATCCAGGGAACCCATAACATTCTACCTACAGTGAGGTGTTGTTTTCAGCACTTGAGCATTCAAATTCAGTTCTTATCACCACTACCACACATACATTCCTGGTCTCTCTGTGTTCTGGGAAGTTTGTAGGGTGGTAAAGCACTAGACAGGACTTGGCTCAGCTAATAGGAACTTTATTTCTTAATATGAAAAAAACCTATCTTTTTTATTAAGAAATTTTTTATTAATTTTACATACCAATCACAGATCTTCCCTCCTCCTGCTCCTCCAGCCTCCCCCCCCCCCCCCCCGCCGCCCCGACAATCCATCCCCAATTCCCCACTACAACAAGATAAGGCCTCCCATGGGAAGTCAGCAGAGCCTGGTACATTCAGTAGAGGCAGGTCCAAGCCTCTCCCCCTGCCTCAAGGCTATGTGAGGTATCCCACCATAGTAGTGAGCTCCAAAACGCCAGCTCATGCACCAGGGATGGATCCTGATCCTGTTGCCAGGGGGCCCCTTAAGCAGATCAAGCTATACAACTGTCTCGATTATGCAGAGGGCCTAATCCCGTGGAGGCTCCACAGCTGTTGGTCTAAATTTCATGAGTTCCCACTAGTTGGGTTTGGTTATCTCTTTAGATTTCCCCCTCATGATCTTGATGCCCCTGCTCATAGAATCCCTCTTCTCTCTCTTTGACTGGACTCCTGGGGGGAAAAAAAATTATCTTGTGCAATGAAAGATGCGGTTGGAAGACCAGCAGCTGAATCTAAGCCAGGATGGCCAGAGGTCCTTCCAATATGCTTCTGTCTGTTTCAGTCACTTGAGTCAATTCTGTGTTTTAAAAGTTGAGGATCAAGGATCCTGTGTTTCCAAATAAAGGCACAAATCCCCATAGCATGTGGAGGACCACACAGTCCACCCTGAAGTAGCCTGGCCTTTTTCTCTTGAATAGTGGTTCCTGCCCTCTGATTGATACTCTCATTGAGTAAAGGTCTCTGACAAGGTCTCAAGGGGTACACATAATTCAGAGGCTCTGGTATCAGGACTTCAAACTCGTATCTTTTTTCTTTCTTTCCTACTAGGATTGTTGGAACGTTTCTACATTTCATCAAAACAGTGCACCAAAACCTGTCTAGTCCCTCCATATTTCCCTCCTGTCCCTGAGGAACGTTCTGATGCTGGACCGCCCCAGCCTAAGAACTTTGTGGTCCAAAAACCCTTGCCCTTCTTATATTCAAAGTGCTGTAAATGGGACTTGTGTAATCAGCATGGGCCAAACCTCTTATATTACAAGGAGCAGCCTGGAAAAGCCAGTGAGAGAAGACACAGACACACTGAGCTGTTCCTGCCTGGCTTCATGGTCCTTATTGCTGCTGTGCTCACAGCCCTCAGCCTGCAGTAAGTAAGCTACAGATGGACCTGGAGCATGCCTTGTGGGGCATGAATTCCCCGGACCCTGCTGGACCCTTCTAATTAAATTCGTTTTCCTTTGTTCACCTCTTGGCTTGATTCCTGTGGACTCTGGATGGGCAGGTGGGAAGCCAGGTTCCATAGCTGCCAGTCCCAACAGCTCTTCAACTTCCAGAAGAGCTAGTCGCAGGCCTGGCCACAGTTCTGCTGGCCAGTGCCTCTGAAATTAAGTCTTGTCCCTCCCTTTTCTGTTCCACTGCCTCTGAGTTGATGGGGAGGAAGCCCACATCTCCTCCACAAACACAACGTGATCCCCCAGGATCAAAGGGGAAGATGGAGGTAAATATCCTGAAGGAAAAACTCTGCACCATCTAGCCCACTATCTGACATGTGTGCATCCGTTTGTAAATTTCCACCCATGGATTTTTCTGGCATTAGGTTGGACCAGATAGATGACAGCAGGTATATATCCTCCATGTTTCTAGTGAGCTGCAGTCATCCATAGGAGTTGACCTCTACCAAACAAGGACTTCCTGCCAAGGATTTTACCTACTGTCAGAGCAGGGTGTACTTATATACACTCCATCTTCTTTCTGGTCTTAGGTAGCTGGGCAGAGAAGGCCTGGAGAACCTTCTAGAAAACCTCTGTACTATTTCTGAGGCATCTCTGTCATAGGAGTCAAAGTCTATTTGGAGGACAGGAATCAGGAAGGACCCTTGAGGGATGGACAGTATCTTCAGGACTGGACCTCTAACTCCTCTGTCTCTCAAAGGCTATGAGTTCACACCCCGCCTTTGACCCACCCAGTAACGACAGCCAGGCCATTCCTATACCCCTGGGGTAAAGTTTAGGTATACTACTTTTATTAGGGCAAACAAAAGTTGAGAACCCTGAAGAAACAGGTTGGGGGAGGGAGTGGTGAACATATAAGAGAATTAATATGATATCCTGATAAGGGTTTTGTTTGTTTAGTTGGTTGGATTTTTTTTTGTCTATGTGTCAACTTGGAAGAGAAGCATCAATTGAGAAAATGCCTCCATCGGATTGGCCAGTGGGCAAGTGTATGGAGACATTTTCTTGATTAATGACTGGTGGGTGTGGGAGAGCCCATCCCACTGTGGGTGGTGCCACCCATAGGGTCCTGGCTTGTATCAGCAAACTGGGCAGTCCATAGGAGGCAAGCTAGGAAGCAGACATCCGTAACGGCTTCTACTTGAGTTCCTTCCTCTAGGTTCTTGCCTTCCCTACATGATGGACAACTTCAAACAGAACTTAACCTTTTCCTCCCCAAGGTGCTTTTGGTAGTGGCATTTCATCACAGCAACAGAAAGCAGACTAGGTCGCACGGCGAAGCGCTGCTGGAGGTTGTTTAAATGGGTGCAGTCTTCAGTGGAAAATAGGCCTGTAAAAGTAGACACAGAGTAGTCTTCAAGTTGGAACCTATGGACCTTCAGCCACATTAGGAAGAACCATTTTCAGCAACTTAATTGTGGTTATGATTGTACTGGACTGACATAGGGATTTCTAGAAGGGTCTCCGCAGAAGGAAGGAGATGCAGAAGTTAGTGTTTATGAAAGGCGGGGACCGGAGTGAGCACTACCTTATGTGAAAGCTCCTTAAGAGCAAGTAGACACAGCCCCATTGGTACAAGGGCAGGCTTTTATGCAAACCGGTTGGAATGGGGACAAGTCTTGGGCCAGACACCACAAGAAGGCCAGTGACATTCTCCCATCAACCTGGCAGAGTAACAGGAGCACACAGAAACCTCCTACCTGTAGGAGTAGGTGGGTGGGGATGGGGTAGGGGGTGGGTGATGTTCAGTAAATGACATTGTTAAACTAGATATCTGGAAAGGGGAGAGAATCCCCCTTCTCCTCGTGATAAGGTCTCATTCTATACTTAAGATTGGCTTGGAATTTGTTATGCAGTCCGACATAGCTTCAAACTTGTGACCCTCCTTCCTCAGCTGCCCAAGTACTAGAATTACAGGTGTGAGCCACCATACCTGGAAACTATATTCATTTCTGACAGCCATGTCTCTCTGATTGTCTCAGAACAAGAGTTCAAACGAGGCTGGTCTCTGAGTAGCATGATAGCAAACTGGAGCATTCCTTAAGGCAAGAGAGAAGGGAGGTCATGAGGTAGGAGGCAGGGAGCAGTCATAGGGAAACCCAGCACCGTGGATGTCACTGAGTACAGACTTTCCCTGGTAACAGCCCATGTACATTAGTGGGAAACCAGGTGGCTGATGTATCTAACTGGGAGCCACTCCACAAGGCCACAGAGTAAGAAATAACTGCCCTTGGTTTCAAAAAAAGTAGTCAAATGGGTTGGATGTGAGGGTGTAACAGCTAATGCTGTCGACTTGACAGGACCCATGATCATCTAGCAGACAAATCTCTCTGTGAGAGATATTCTAAATTAAGATAATTGAGCTAAGAACTACCTTAAATGTAAGCAGCTCCATTCCATCGGTTGGGGTCCAGGGCTACATAAAAGAAGACAAGCCCTGCGCCAGCATCCATCTCCCTCCACCCGCTGCCTGCGGATGCAGTGTGACAGCCGCCTCACCCTGCTACACCACATGTTTTCTCCCGCGGTCAACTGTATCGTCAAACCGTGAGCCAGGATAAACTTCCTTGCTTCCTGGAGTTGTTTTTATCGGGTAGTGTTGTCAAAGTAATAAGAAAAGCAACCAATACAAATCAGAGGTAGAGTGCTTGTCTGGTACGTGCAAGGCCCTACGCTCAGTGCCCAGCGCCAGAAAAATTAGTAACTAGAGAGCAGTAGGTGCTAGACTGTGGAAATATAGCTCAGTGGGCAGAGAAGGAAGTAAAAGCCATGTGGTGGCTGACATAACTAGAGCCAGTCGCTGGAGGCTGAAGGATGGGGGTGGCAGACCCCGTAAACTGTAAGAACCTAGTATGAATAAGCCAAGGAATGGACAGTCCAAGACAACACTGTGCAGCCGCTGCTAGAATGCGTGCACTGTGACAGGACAAGCCGCTCCAAGCCATAGTAACTCCAACAAGGTTAAAAGGTGGATTTGCTAGCAAAGGAAGCAAGGAAGGTGGGCAGCTGAGGATGGAGTGGTCCCGTTTGAAGGACCCCTCCTTGGACACTGCTGTGGTCTGAAACACACACTGAAGGCAGGAAGGTACAGGTTCTGTAACACACCATTATTCTCAGCATTATAAACTCTCCAAGTAGAAGAGCCCCTTACCAATATGTAAGCTTCCAAACAAAGGCAAGTGTACACTGGGTACAGAGGCATCTTGTAGGGAGAGCAAGTGTCCGGAGCCCACCGGTCACTTTACTGCTCTACGGATGAACTTAGAACCATGTAGTCACACACGGGAAGGATCCAGAGTCCTGAACTGTGAGCAGTCAAGTGAACCACCCCAAGACGCAGGTAATAGGGCTCATAAACTTCAGGCTCACAGGCTCTTGGAGCCTCCACACTGTTGAACAGACATGCTTATCAGCCACAAATGCTATTCCCAGTCAGGGGCATTCAGAAAACTCAGGATGGAGAGATGGCTCAATGGTTAAGAGACCAGGCTCCTCTCTTCCAGAGGTCCTGGGTTCGTTTCCCAGCACCTGAATAGCTGTGGCTCATAGCCCAGCCATCTGTAACTCCAGTTCCAGGAGATCTAGAGCCCTTTTCTGGCTTTGCATGTATGTGGTGCACAGACACACGCACACAAAACACTCACACATAAAACAAAAATACATAAATCTTTTATTTAAAAAAAAAGAATATAAGGGCTGGAGAGATGGCTCAGCGGTTAAGAGCACTGGCTGTTCTTCCAGAGGTCCTGAGTTCAGTTCCCGGCAACCACATGGTGGATCACAACCATCTGTAATGAGGTCTGGTGCCCTCTTCTGGCAGGCAGGGGTACATGCAGTCAGAACACTGTATACATAATAAATAAATCTTTAAAAAAAAAAAAAGAATATAAGAAAGAAAACTATTGCTCGGCTGACTGTGGTGGTGTGTGCCTTCAACCACAGCTTCCAAGAGAGGAAGCACATGATGGTTTCAATGAGCATGACCCTCCTAGACTCATATACTAGAATGCTTGGTCCCTACTTGGGGGAACTATATGGGAAGAATTATGAGGTGTGGCCTTATTAGAGGTGTGCCACTGGAGGTGGGCCTTGATGTTTCAAAAGCCCCTGCCTACCATGCTGTCTCACTCTCTCTGCCTCCTGCCTGTGGGTGAGATGTAAGCTCTCAGCTACTGCCCCAGCACCATGCCTGACTGCCTGCTGGCTGCCATGCTTCCCACCCTGATAGTCATGGGCTTATCCTCTGAAACTGTGAGCAAGCCCCCAATGAAATGCTTTATTTTAAAGTTACCTTCATCATAGTGTTTCTTCACAGCAACTTAGTGTTCTTCACAGAACAGGAACTGTGAAGACACAGAAGAAGGCAGATCTCTATGAGTTTGAGGACAGCCTAGTCTACATAAAGAGTTCAGCCGGGCAGTGGTGGCGCACGCCTTTAATCCCAGCACTCGGGAGGCAGAGCCAGGTGGATCTCTGTGAGTTCGAGGCCAGCCTGGGCTACCAAGTGAGTTCCAGGAAAGGCGCAAAGCTACACAGAGAAACCCTGTCTTGAAAAAAAAAAAACAAACAAACAAACAAAAAAAACAAACCAAAACCAAAACCAAAAATAAAAAACAAATGACAGAATCCACAGCACAGCTACAGTCTGAATACGTCCCCAATGTGCAAATGTTGGAAACTTACTCCCCAGCATGCCAGTGCTGTGTGTTGGGACGGAGGTTTCAGAAAGAGCAGTTAGGTCTGGGACTCTCCCTCATGAATGCTGTTATTGCAGGGGTGGGCATGTTATAAGAACACTTTTGGAAGTTGTAGAAATGGCTTAGTGGTAAATGTGCTTGTTGCTCCTCCAAAGAACCTAAGTTGGGTCCCCAGCATCCATGTCTGCCTGTATCTCCAGCTTCAAGGGATCCAACGTCTTAGGCACCTGCACTCACATAATTAAACACAAAATAATTAAAAAACACTTTGGCCCTCTCTGCATCCCTCTCTTCCCCACCTCCTACTCTCTCACCTTTTGGCTGTGGCAGGAGAATGAGAAACAATGAAAAGACCATGGCAATATAAACAAATACAGACTGTATACGCAGTAATAAGGTCTTTCCGGACTTAACCTAGTGTATAGAATTAAGGACTTGTGCAGCACATTTAATATAGTGAAGAACCATGTGGACCTGGTTCATGTATTAGCACACAGGTAGCAGAAGGAGGATTTGGTGTATGCCCACGGACAAGCATTGTACCAAGTGGCCACAGTCATGAAAGGCAATAGACATAATTTGTTCAAATAAAGCTTATTTATGGACATAAAACTTGGGTTTCACACAGTTTTTTTGTTTTTGTTTTTGTTTTTTTGAGACAGGGTTTCTCTGTGTAGCTTTGGAGCCTGTCCTGGATCTCACTTTGTAGACCAGGATGGACTCAAACTCACAGACATTCACCTGGCTCTGCCTCCCTCCCGAGTGCTGGGATTAAAGGCGTGCGCCACCACTGCCTGGTGGGTTTCACACATTTTAAGGAAGGTTTATACTCAATTCTGATACAGTTAAATTAATAAAATGCCATTGAGAATCAACATTGGGAAACAGTCTGCAGGCTACAGTTTCCCTATTCATGTCCATCCAGGAAAAGTAGCAAGGATGTGTAGACGAATTCATCAAACTTGAACCTTGGTGTTGTCCAAGAGGCTGGACCTCTGTGGAGGAGGGCTAGCTGCAGCTGGGGTCAGGTGACCTGAGTCACAGGGATGGAGTCTGAGGTATAGGAACTCAGGGTGGATGTGGGCAGAGAGGGATCCAGGGGTGGAGTCTGGGCTGGAAGGGGCTGGGGTGAGGGAGATAAAAAGGGAGCCCAGCTTCTAAGCTATAAGATAAGAGGGTAGCCGGGCGGTGGTGGCGCACGCCTTTAATCCCAGCACTCGGGAGGCAGAGCCAGGCGGATCTCTGTGAGTTTGAGGCCAGCCTGGACTACAGAGTGAGTTCCAGGAAAGGCGCAAAGCTACACAGGGAAACCCTGTCTCGAAAAACCAAAAAAAAAAAAAAAAAAAAAAAAAAAAAAAAAAAAAAAAAAGATAAGAGGGTAGATTTGGACCCTGACAAGGGACACAGCTGTGGAGTCTGAGATGGAGAGGTCCGTGGTAGATCTCTATTCTAAAGAGACAAGTCTAGGGTCTCAGGGGTACTGTGAGACCAAGTATGCATACTTGCAGACTTCTCTCAATGGGAGAGAAGAAAAGAATATGTTGGGGGAGCGGGGCTGGGGAATGGAAGGCAAGGAGCTGCAGCATGCTCCCTGGCCTTGCCCATCTCTACTTTCACCCA